ATTTCTTTGTATGTGAATCAAAGAGACTGAGTTAAACAAGAACGAGGTTTTAACTAAACAAAAAGAATGAAGAGATCAAATTTCGAGTTGTGAAATTACAGTAGCAAAATTGATGATAAGGTAAAAGAATAGAAGGTTAGGCAGAGTTGATATGAATGTAATGTGAATGAAACAATAATAATCTTTTATATACAGAAGCAATATGTCAAATAATTCACTCCTAATACAATTTGCTGAAGCCAGAATTGTTCCCTGAGTCTCCCAATCGCGGGAACAAGACCTCTTTCTCAATCAGAACCTGTAGATGCGACATGATCTTAGTGAATGAAACCCACACAAAGGGTGCGCAACAAAAGGCGTATCCAAAAACCGACAAGGCTCTCACTACTCCATCAGGGTACCAAGGGAATGCCATGACGAGGAGCGTCCCGAGAATGCCTAGCCACGGAGTGAGAACAGGGAGCGTTGGGAGGAGAAGAGTGTTGATTGGTATGGAGGAGAGAGCAAAAGAAGCCATCAAGTAAAGCGACCAACCGATGAGTGGGTGGATAGTGTGAGGGATGGTGAAGAATGGGAAGACGTAGGCTGCGACTACAGAGAGAAGCGCGATGAACTTGAAACCTACTTGGATCGCTGTTAAGTTGCGGTCAGAGCGGCGATAACATAGTTTTGTGATGTTAGGACGAGCTAGTCGTGTAACCAATATGATCCCAAGGTAGAACACTGCTTGAATTATGACCAAAGGCATCTCTGCTGAGTAACCTAGAGTGGTGCGACGCTGCTCGTGCCATGAGAGACCTAGTGGAAGAACAGGCCATGCCCACCAGTACCATGGCTTTAACCAAACAGCTCCTGGGAATGTAATCACACTGTTTGGTCCACAAGGTATGTTCCATCTAAGTTTAAGATCTACAAGTAAAGTGATCATCATGTTATTACATTACCCCAAAAGTGTATTATCATTATAGACAAGAGAAAAAAAAAAAAGAGACTTACAGAAATAAGAAGCGTCCATTTGGTAGCCCAAGGGAAGTCTCAAATGACCACTGAGCGCAGAGCCATTACCCGGAGGACGGAACAGAGGCTGGTCAAGAAGATCAGAGAAGTAACTGACAAGAAAGCCTTGATCAGCTCCATCAGGATTCTCTCTTCCAACTTGAAGCTCATGGAGCATGTCCTTGAACACTTCCATTGACGGTTGCAAGACGAAGAGACCAGTGTGGAAGATGCAAGGGTTTATGAAGACCGCACAGAAGCGGCCACACTGGAACAACTCGTCTGTCTTCTTGAGAAAGAGATTGTCGGCATCAAGCATGACCACACGGTCGTAATCAGACAAAGCCCAAGCGTAGAGCTTGTTTAGAGTAAGCTTGAATCTACTGTTGAAATTGGTCTGTCTCCTATATGGATTATCCACATTTTCAACTCTCACCACTTTGGCTCCATCTTCCTCTTCCCTGTTCACACACACACTCATTAGTATAATGCATGCATGATTTTGAGGGTATAATTATGTTTATGGACAGGTATATACATGATTACATGTGAAGTCCTAGTATTGTTAAAAATTAGTTTAGGTTATGATTGAAAGTGTAGACGTTATTGCATGATCTAATACAGATTGGCAGGCAATAACTTAATATACTAATTATATACAATTTGACCAAAACAACTCTTTCTTGTAGTATATAATTAGTATCATTGATATTTTAACATTGTTTAAAAAAAAAAAAAACTCGTTCTTGTTTCCAAAAGGTTTATCAATCAGGGAACTAAAAAGTCAAACAACTCTCCTTATATTCGTTCATTCAATGTAATTGTTTTCGATTTTAATTCACATGCTCTTTATTCTACTACGCCAGTTTCAACTGTTTTTGGGTGAAATGTTGACTAAGAAACATTATAGCGAATTTAACTCAAAACACATTAATACAAATTATTGTGTTAGTAATTAATTTTACGGAATGTTTGGACAATGGAACCCCTTCATTCTAACCAAGTAAAGTGATTTATAGATCTAAACGACCAAAAAAGAATTTGAAATATTC